TATATATATATATATATATATATATATATATATATATATATAAAGTATATCTAAAAAAAACATATAAAGTACACTCAATAAGTACTTATTTTATACAAACAAAAAATAAACTTTATTTTGCCAAGGGATGTGATTCAGTGATTGGTTTCTATCAACTAATAGAAGAAAAAAAATCTATTAGCTTGCACATAGAATTATATTAACAAATAGATTTTGGATAAAAATATAAAAAGAATGTTGAATCGAAGGGGAACGTGGAATGAAGAGAACAGAAAACATAACGCATCATAGACCACACAAGGTTGGTCCCAATATCTGTTCCAACCAATAACGTTTCATCCTTTCATATCTTTATCTTTTCATTTTCTTTCTCATATCTAATTTTCTTTTCTCAACCAAATTAACTTTCTCCCCATACAAATAATAACAAATAATATGATAATAAAAGGAGGGAAAAATAAAGAAGAAAAAAAATCTAATAGTAGTAGCACAGTTATTTCCTTCCACACCAACAGTTTTGTGAGTGAAGCCTTTCAGTGTAAAGCTGCAGCTGCAGCTGATTCAAAAATTGTTAAGCTTTTCGTTTTGGAGCAATAATCATTGTCCAGATTGTGATTTGTTCAGGTATTCCATTCACAAACATACCATGCGCTATTTAATTTAATTTTTTTTTTTTGCATGTTTTGTATTTCCGTTGGTTTTCATTTTGATACTTCCAGTTTTATTTGCTACAAGCTTGTATTGTTTTCATGAAGTAGATTCTGGGGTGGGGTGGAGGTTCAATAAATTATTAACCTCTATATAAAGGAAATCTTGAATAATCCATTATTTTTATTATAACAATTTATTCTTTTGGTTTACCAGAAGGTAAGCAACAATTTGGGAAGTTTCTGAAGGCAATAGGAGTAGAAGACACGGTTTAGGATAGTTTTTATAATAAGGAAATTTGATGGTAAATGGTAATCATACACAGTGGCTAGGAAGGAATATAATGGCTACTGCTGCAGTTATTGGACTGAGTGGAGGAAAGAGGCTCTTGAGCTCATCATATCATTACTCTGATATTATAGAAAAGCTTTCTTGTGGCAGTGATTTTGGATCCACACACTATCAGATTGCTCCTACAAAATCTGTGATAGTTTCTAAGAAATCATCCAACTACACTTCTACTTTTCCAGCATCCAACAGGCAGAATGAGTCCATTAAGGCTCTTAAGGAGCATGTTGATGGTGCCCCCACCACTGCTGATCCATGGTTTCATAGTTGCAATTCTAATGAATTGGAGGTGGAAAGTTCTGAAATGGGTTATTCTGTGGAGGCTCTTCTTTTGTTGCAGAAGTCAATGCTGGAAAAGCAATGGAACCTTTCCTTTGAGAGGGAAGTGCTAACGGAGCATTCAAGTAAAGAAAAAAACTGTAGGAAAGTGGCAGTGACTTGTTCTGGGGTGTCTGCTAGGCAAAGAAGAATGAATCTCAAGAGGAAGACTGCAGTTAAAACCGGCTCGTCAATGGTGCAACCTTGTGGTGCTGTGCAGCTGAAGTCAAAAATCAGTCCAGAGCTGCTTCAAAATCGTTTGAAGGGCTATGTGAAAGGTGTAGTGAGTGAGGAGTTGCTGTCTCATGCAGAAGTTGTAAACCTATCAGAGAAAATAAAAGTTGGGCTTTCCTTAGATGAGCACAAATCCAGGTAATGGCATATATGGTTGATCCTATGATTAACTAAAATGATGAAGAATCTGTTCTTTTTATAGTCTGCCAGTTATTTTCAATATTATGTAATTGTGACTTTGTTAGTTATCTTTTGCTTGAAACAATGCATCATGTTAAAGAATCTTTGGATCACTAAGATGGAGGTTTTGTTACTGAAGTTTTGAACCTTAACTATCATCTTTTATTTTAATACTACTAATCTGAATGGGGAATGAGATTAATCAATAATGATATAGGTTAAGATGGTTCTAGCATGCTTGGCGAGAAGTTCTGCTTTTGTTATTTGCAACAAGTTCTGTAAAGCTATTGTTTAAACAGTTTCATTTTTTTTTTATTACAATCCAATTGTTTTCAATGTCAGAGAGCCTAGTTTTCTTGAAAAATCTATGTATCATTATAGTGCATATGACTTTTTTACACAGGTTGAACACAGATAGCTAAATTATATTTCTTTCACCTTTTTTTAATTAATGAAATTCAAATCTTTCTTTATCATTTTTGTTAGCTTTCAACAGCAAATAGCCGGTGCAGAGGCAGAAAATTTCCTATTAAGAATTGCATTAGGATGGAGAAAAGGCTATTTAAATCATCAAGAATATATCCACTTTAAGTTATAACAACACTAGCCTTTTATAATGAAAAATTCCATTATTCATGGTACTTATTTTATTATCTTTTCTTCATGGAAATTCTAGCAAATAATTTTGTAACTTGACTTCCTTTGGTTCTTATTTTACGTCAAAGAGAATGATAGCTGACGTACAAGATATGCAAACCTTTTATGAGTTTCAGACTGAAGGAAAGACTAGGATGTGAACCCTCTGAGGATCAAATTGCAACTTCATTGAAGATTTCGTGCACTGAACTACGAGAAAGAATGTTAGAGTGCTCTCTGGCAAGAGAAAAGTTGACTATGAGCAATGTTCGCTTAGTTATGTCTATTGCTCAAAGATATGATAACCTGGGTGCAGAAATGGCTGACCTTGTTCAGGTGATTATAAACATATCTCTGTTTTAACTTCATATCAGGTTGGCTTTGCTCCTTCCTCTGCTGTAAAATACTCAAATTATTTTCTCTGTAGGGTGGCTTGATTGGACTACTGCGTGGTATTGAAAAGTTTGATTCTTCAAAAGGGTTTAAGATTTCAACTTATGTTTATTGGTGGATACGTCAGGTGAGGTTTTGTGTATTTATGAGAGTTTTCTAGACTTTATATGGTTGATTAGACATCCTTATTATTGTTGTTCTTTAATCAAGTATATCATGGGATTCACCCTATTTGTACTTTTAAAATCAATGGAAAGAAGGACAGTGTATGAGAAAATATTTTCATGAAAACTCTTAAAATAATTTCTGTTAAATACTTCTATTTTCTCATAATTTCTGTAAATCAAGGTATTGTGTAACTTATATTTTTTAATCAGTATTTAAATATCTGGCAATCCTTGCAACCATAATTTCTGAATTTGGGTATGATTAATCATTTGCTTCCTTTCACTTAATAATTTCTATCGCTATTGCAGAAGCAACAATTTTAGGTGTAGAGAATGCATCTTCTGTTTCATTTTGTTTCCTTTCCATTTTCATTAGTTTTAGAATCATATATGAATATGATTGTGCTGTTTACATCTCAAATTTGTCCAATCACCATGAATACTGTTTTTCTGTTGACAGGGTGTTTCAAGAGCTTTAATTGAGAATTCAAGAACTTTAAGATTGCCTGCTCATTTGCATGAGAGATTATCTTTAATCCGCAACGCAAAGTTTAGACTAGAAGAGAGAGGCATTACTCCAACTATTGAGGTGAGTCAGCCAAATGTATAAAAAGAAAGCTACTGCAATTTTATCAATTATCAAATATTTTAAAATTTCTAAATATTGGTAGACCTGCACCTGCCTGAACTATTCCCTTGTCTTGCAGAGGATTGCAAAACACCTTAACATGTCTCAAAAAAAAGTTAGAAATGCTACTGAGGTAACAAAAACATTGAGAGTTACATTGTCCTCATATATGATACCGAAACATGTAATGTCTCTATTATCCATTTGTTTACCACGTGTTACTACTTATTGCAGGCAATCAGCACTGTTATCTCATTTGACAGGGAAGCATTCCCCTCTCTGAATGGTATACAAGGAGAAACTCATCATAGTGTAAGTGTCGATACCTTTCTACTAGTCCATCAAGGAAGATCATAAGAACTGCTTTCTTCTTATTCTTTGCCTTGTGTTTTCTTTTCTCTCAAGAATATCAACTGTCTTATTCGTGTCTTTTGCTTTCCACTTCCAGTATATTGCAGATAATCGTGTTGAGAACATCCCTTGGAATGGAGTAGATGAGTGGGCCCTAAAGGTATTTAGAAAAATATTTGTATGAAAACCTGACTTAATTGCAAAGCATAGGTATTTCATTGTTGACATGCAGAGGATCGTTTTAATGCCTGTTAATCCTTTACTGCACAGTATGCTGACTTTTTTTGTCTTTAAGCATATGAATATTGATTTGAAGTCATTCTACGATTACAAAATATATTCAAATTTTCACAGTGGACAATATGATGATGACATTGGTGTATTATATGTGTTATTCCAGAACTTACGAAATATATTAACTGAACTGAAATCAAACATTTTTTAGCAGATAAGCCTACATAATAATAGCTCTTCCGTTTTCTGATGTTGTTTCAAAAAAAATTTATGTGCCATGCTAACAATTGTTAGAAAAGCATTGATTAAGGAATCAATAAATAATATATTTATTTTATTGAAATAGTGAGGTTACATTAGAAATCCTAGTGTAAATGTGTTGCTAACTCTTTTTCATAAAGACTTCTATCAATTTCGTAACCACTGTCCTTAGTGCACTTATTAACATTTTCAGTATTCATGTTATAAACTTCCATGATGATTAATAGCATAGCACTTGTAAATATTCACAGGATGAAGTGAACAAACTCATTAATGTGACCCTTGTGGAACGAGAGAGAGAAATTATTCGTCTTTATTATGGACTGGATAAAGAATGTCTTACGTGGGAAGACATTAGTAAACGGTGAGTTCAACCACAATGTCCTATTAATTCTTTTTTTAGATGCCCTTATCAACTAAAGTTTTGCAATTATACATCATACTTATCCTATTTGATCCATCTTAAAGCATAAGGTTTTGCAATACACTCATTGCTCGTGTCGTGTTACTACATTTGATGGAGCTTTCTTGTTGAAATGAGGATGGAAAATGTGACTAAAAATTCAAATTATGTTCATTACTTTTCTTGTGTTCTTTCTGTAGGATAGGTTTGTCAAGAGAAAGAGTAAGGCAAGTTGGACTTGTTGCATTGGAGAAACTAAAACATGCTGCGAGGAAGAGAGAAATGGAGGCCATGCTTTTGAAACATTAAATTTGGACTTATCATAGAGATATTTACAATGTATATATACAGAGAGGAAGTATGTACCTAGAAATTTGACTTCCTGATTCAAAAAGAGGACAGTGATATAAGGGAACATTGAAAATTTGTAAATCCCTTTAAATGTGGTTTTAGTCCAATAAATATGGGTAAATTTGGTTTTAATACTCAAAAAAAAATGTTGCTGAGATGGTTCTCATAAATTTTTATATTTTTTTAAATGGTTTTTATCATCATCTGAGTATTTGACAGTAACATGATATGTATTTTGTTATATCAATAGTCATTTTGAGATGATACGTCTAAATACATGTTATGTTATTAATAAATGATGATATAGGAATTTTTTAAAATTTTTTAAAACTTATAAGAATTAAAAATCAATATGAAAAATTGGAAAACTAAATCAAATTTATTCATATTTACATTAACTAAAACATGTTAATGACATGACCTATGAAGACTTGTATAAGAAAAAATTCACAGGCCACGTGCAATATAATTCAAAATATTATACAAAAGTTTTATTGAAGGGTGAGAATCTAGTTATGATATGTGTAACTTTTAATAGAATAATTTCATTTAATAACTCTTTGTGTATATTAAATTTTAATAATTTAATTATTAAATACTTGATATTATCTCAATAATTATACACCACAAATTTTAAATAAATAAGACAATTATAGATATATAATCTTATAGTTGTCATTTATTTATATTTAAAAATATATATATATATTATACTATAAATTAATTTTATTTAATAAAGTATCAAATAACTTTCAAAAATTATAAAATTTATAAATTTCATCTATTCAATAAATTTGTTTAATTTTATTATTTTGTTATTAAAATTTAATATACATAAAGATTTATTAAACCAAGTTATTCTACTTATTATAATTACTTTTATTATAATTCACGTGGATTATACTTTATTTATTTTTCATAAAATCTAATAAAAGGCTGTAAAAATGCTATGAAATAAATAAAGTTTCATTATTCAAACATTAAATGATTGATAAAATATTTAATGCATGATATAATTGATTATAAATATGTCTTGTCTAGCGAAAATATAGGTATAATCCACATATGTTTCTTTGACAGGCAATCCTCACATGATTTAAGAAAATGAGATCAGTAGTGGTACAGTATACATAGATCTTTGGATGAAAGTAAATTACTGGAATTAATAATTATAAATTCATTGGATCACGGGTACTGTACTGTGTATATTTTTATTTATTGAAAAACTTTTTTCTCTTCTACGTTAACATTTTCTATAGCCATTATTGGGTGGCATCTCGGTAAGAGAAATTAAAATATAATTTAATTTTTTGATATAATTAATTAAGGGTATTTATGAAAAATAAATTTTGGCCTAATAAAGGGGAGCGTGGTGGAAAATCCACGTGTATCGTTGGAGATACGAATATCTCCCCACCGTCCAATCTCCAATCCCTATTCGTTCCTTCTTGTCCGTTTCATTTGGTTTCTGAAATGAGAATGCATTTGCAATCTTCCGTTAACACTTCATCACACTCATCATGCTTCCCATTTTCAACACCATGGCCAACTCCTACCTCCTCGCACCTCCTCCACCTCGCTTCCAACACCACAACGCCAATTTCCCACAATTCAAATACCTCCCTCGCCCACGCCACCACAATCCCCTTTTCATCTTCTCCTCCCAATTCGCCTTTTCTCCACGCCCACCCAATTTCGCTCATCATTCCGAGGTACGTGCCTATTCCACTCCCTGCTCATTGCTCATTGCTCATTGCTTCTTCTTCTCTATTCGCATTAACTTTCACCCTTCTTTGAAGGGTTCAGTTGACGTTCGAGAAAGCCAAAGCTACCAGCAATGGGATTCCCTCACCGCCAACTTCTCTGCCGCCGCCAACATTCCCTTTCTCTTGCTCCAAATGCCGCAAATCATACTCAATGCCAGAAACCTTCTCGCCGCAAACCTAACCGCACTCTCTGCTGTCCCCTGGCTCGTAAGCTTCCAACTTCCAACGCATTAATTAATCATTCATTATTTGCTCTTAATTACTACTCAAATTATAACTCATACTCTCTCTTTATCTATCTATAAACAAACAAACAAACAAACAAACAAAAAACAATTTCACACGAATTAAAAAAAAAAAAAAGTTAATTAAATTACACGATTTCATAAAATATACTTCCTCCGTTCCATTTTGTTTGCAGATTTAGTATTTCTTGTCTTGTCTGTTTCAATTTGATTTTTGATTTTTGTTTTACAAAATCAATATAAACATTAAACATATTTTTCCTATCCTACACTTAACCATTATTAATCCATTATCGGTAGAAATCCAAAAGATTTAAGGATATATTGGGAAGTTATATACTTCCTCTGTTCTTTATTATAAGCAGAAGAAATTTACAATTAGTTATCTCTATTAAATTTTACTACTTCCATAATATTCTTTTTAAATTGTCCCTGATATAAATGTCAAATGAATTAGTGCAATTGAAAAGTTATGCATTAAAGGAGAGATATTTTTAGATAAATATAAAGTAGTTGAAATTTACTTATATTTAAGTTTTTTTTTTTTTTTTTTTTTTTTTTTTTTTTTTTTTTTTTTTT